TATGTATATGCAAAACTTGATCACATGGCCTAGAGATTAGTTCTATGTTTTGCAATTGACAAATGATCAGTTGTACGAATTGAGAAACGTGAGTTATACGAAATGCCATGAAGCGTTTTTTTCTTTCTTTCTTTGCCATCTATCGTCATCGGTTGACCACTAGTTGACCTCCGCTAACCCTATGTAGAAAAAAAAAGAAATCAAATTTACCCGTAGAATACGGAGTGGCTCGCCTATCAGTGCCACGGAAGTGTAGAGCAATTAACAAGCACATAGATATATACTCCCTTCGTTCCAGAAAAAAACTCAACTCTCTATCCAAATTCATTGTATTAGGAGGGGTCACATTCCTCCTGGATTAATTTTTTTTGGAAATTCATTGTACTAGGAGAAACCACATCCCCTTTTAGATTGAGTTTTTTTTTATGGAATAGTGGAATTATGTACTAATAGAAAAACATTCACCATTGACGTCTTGACGATCAATTAAGTGATGTATATATCCATGCAATGTTTGGAGGGCAAGAGAGGACAGTGGGGGGGGGGGGGGTGGAGACAATGAGGTAGTAGAAGAGGATACGTACGAGATGTCATGATATATATGATCCGGGCAGACGGGCAGACAGAGTGGGTTCAAGGTATAAACCATAAACTCCAAACAGTGAGGCCATTTAATTGGAAATAGTAGCCAGAGAACAAGGGACTGCTGGTGTGATGCATACATAGTGTTGTGGTTGCACGGCGGGACAAGAGGCGGACTGGATCATATCGATGGCATTTATGTCCATCCATCCATCCATCTATGAGAGAGAAAGAGAGAGTGAGAACAGGGAGAGAATAGTACTACAGGGAGGGTACTCAAACCATGCATGGTAATTAAAATTAAAGGAGGCATCCAATATGTATAATCTCACCATCAGTCGTGTCAATCAATGCATGTTTTCTCCTTCTTTCCTTTCGATTGTTAGCTCTGCATGCATGCCCCAAATTAATCAAAGAGAGTATCAAATCAGTTTGATCATATCCTAGCGACCGAGTGTGATAGATTTATTCAATTCGTATTCATTTAATTGGGTGGGGAAGTTTCCATTATGTCTATAGATGAGGATCGAGTGAATTATTCCATTTGAATTGGCTGGAAAATCCGTACCTTAATTACTCGATCAGTTCTAGTAGTCTCCATATATCTTATCTGAATAGAAGCTTTAAAAGGAACAGCAAACATATCTCCGTATTTCAAGCTTGGTGGGGCTCGTACGTTGTCTCACCTCACGGTCCGGTGTACCACATAAGTCTGTTCTGAGGTGAGCTTCTGCTGATTTCTAGTGCAGAAAATTAAAGGTTGTCACTTGATGAACCTGTCGATCGATCAGTTGGTAGTTATTATCTCCGTTCCCAAATACTCACCAGACACTGTTTACAATCAAACTCTGATTACTCTTATTTGAGTAATAAATCTGTAAAATGTTTGAAGATATACCATGGTATTATTGAAGTACTATGTTGTAATGTTAAATATGATTATACAATATTTGTTCATGAAAATATTATTGAAGTATGTTGTATGTTAAATATGATTACACAATATTTGTTCATCAAAATATTATATCGACTATCGGATTAAAGTAACGCTTGTCAATAGTGTAAGTAATCCCTCCATTTTAAAATATAACTATCCAAAGGTCGGTCTAAATGGAAATGGAGTAGCTAGCTACTTGTCGGACTAGTGGGATGTACATGCATGTGTACTCCCTCCATCTACTTTTGATAGTCATATTTCATCTTGGCACACAGACCAAGGATAATTAATTCTACTTATTATCCATTTAAATATGCTACTAGTCATTCCTCGTAAACAAGCGATTCATTAATATTTACATTTCTCAATGCCCATGTAGCCAATCATGTATGGAAGAATGAAGAGTCATGCATTAAATCCAAGAAAGTCATTAAGATGATAAGTTGTTGGATTGAAATATGCCTATTAAAAATAAATTTTTCAGATTTGGAAATATGACTATCAGTATGTCCTTGTCTAGCTAGGTCGTCATCAGGTCACATAAATTTCAACCTAGCAGTCCTGATTCTCGATGTTTCAATCCATATATGCACACTCTATCCGTACTAAAATAAGTACAGCTGTGTAATGGTTGCACTTATTTTGGGACTTAGTAGTGTTTTTAAGCATGGTGTTTACTAGTACTGTAATCATCACTCGTCCACATGTTCATGTCTCTCAAGAAGTTGTTCGATCAAAGTTCAGTAACGGCTTTGATTTGTATGGATCGGATTGCCTCCATAATTTTATTTCCCAAAGCTAGCCAACTCTATTTATCTTGGTTTAGGGTCTGTTTGGGGGAGCTTTAGATTCTGAGAAGTAGCTATTTGGTAGCCAGCTTCTGAGAATCTGGAAAAGCTCTGAAACCCAGCTTCTCCAGCTTCTTAGTTCATTTTTCAGAATTTGTAACTACATATTCTCAGAAGCTGTGGACTGTTTGGGCAGCTTCTAGTAGAAGCAGCTTTTGGGAAAAGCTGCAGCTGGGACAAGCTCCCCCAAACAGGGCCTTAATCTGGCTAATTCCCTCCGTTTTATAATGTAAGATTTTTTAGCATTGCCCACATTCATATAGATGTTAATGAATCTAGACATATATGTGTATCTAGATTCATTAACATTTACATGAATGTGAGCAATGCTACAAAGTCTTACGTTATGAAACGGATGAAGTACAAGTGTGAACAAGCAATATTGGAGCATTACACTGCCTTATTTAAACAAGGCGTAGTACATATACATACCTTTCAAGCTTCCGTTTCTACAAAATTGATCTCCTGTATATTGCTAATCTATTTTGTTCAAGCGCATATACGATTCTGGATACTTAGAAAAGTTTCCGACGCATTAATACTCTGACCGGTCAGAGTTCATTGTAATTAAGTTATCGAAGGATACTAATTATCTAAAATGATACTCCCTCCGTTTCAAAATGTTTGACACCGTTGACTTTTTAACACATGTTTAACCGTTCGTCTTATTAAAAAAATTATGAAATATGTAAAACTATATGTGTAAATGAAAGTATATTTAACAATGAATCAAATGATATGAAAAGAATAAATAATTAGTTAAATTTTTTGAATAAGACGAATGGTCAAACACGTACTAAAAAGTGAACGGTGTCAAACATTTTGAAACGGAGGGAGTAATACACTAAATTAGTACAAATGTTATTCGAATGACAATAAAATTTAATGGTAACAGATATCTCACTGACTGTGAAAGGTCAAACCGACATCATCTTTTATTGGAGGGACCAGAGAGTGCAACGAAAGTACCATTCATGTTTAATCTATTTGAAGATACCATTTCATTCGGTCAGTCAATCTAAGGGTATACTATACAATGATCATTAATAGGGATCTCTTAGCTTTATTAATTAGGGATGTTTGATGATATGGAAGAGAGAGAAGCAAGGAGAGAGAAACATCGTTGCTACGGTTAACAATGGCTTAGCAACGACTCTTAATCTATAGTATAAAATAGAAACTTTGGCTGTGTTTAGATCCAAAGTTTAGATCCAAACTTCAGTCCTTTTCCATCACATCAACCTGTCATACACACACAACTTTTCAGTCACATCATCTCCAATTTCAACCAAAATCCAAACTTCGCGCTGAAACACAACCTTTGCTGCATGAGAGTGTGAAAAAGGAAAGAATAGTAATAAAAGGACACTTTTATAGATTAAAGGTTTAGAATCTTTGTTATCTCCACTATTGTAAGGATAGTCTCTAAATAAACATACATTATCTAAAAGTTTTTATGAGCTCTACATATGAACATGCCCTAAGTAGTCCTACATATTCTAAATTTGAGCAAGTGTCAGATACCAGTACTCTCTTTTCTAAATTACTCCCTCCATCGATAAAAGTTACACCTATTTCACATTTGAGTTTTTTCAAATAAGTTGTTCCTATTTGTAGTCTTTATGCATTGAAGGCTTAAATGAAGAGATAAATATTTGTATCTTTGACTACCGGGTTTCTAAAAATTTATATGGTTTAACATCGTTTTGTTTTTAGATCCACCATGAGAAACATTTTTATAATATTTAACTAATTCGCATGTTGATTTTAGAAATTGATGTTTAAAGATAGAAAATTTTTAACTTAGGATAATAAAGCGAATGCTAAGTAATTTGAAACAAAGTGAATAATAATTCTTTCGTAGAACTGTTCAAAAAATAGACCACCTGCCAAATTTATTCGTTGCTAGCTAGAATAAACCATACCTTTGCCAATTGGTAGTGGCATGAGCCCAAGGCTGTACATGTACTGTGGCAGTACCCCTGTAACCACCGGCAGCACCGCCGCATCCGAAGGCCTCGGCGCTGTCCAGAGTCCAGACCAGGCCACAGCATCCAGGCCACCCAACCAAGCAGAAACCGGAGCCAATTCCAACTCCATCCTCCGACCCACATAAATGCTGAAGGAAACAGGCATGATTCCCAGCGAGCTAGCGTCCATCATCAGCCACGCCCATTTCACGCCCCAGGCAGCAGCAACAAGGCATGTGCTCCTCCGGGATGCATGCAGGCAGGCAAACCACCGTGCCCACAGCCATCCTCCCCATTCCTTCTTCTTCCTCTCCCTTTTCCTTCCCCTTAGCTTGTGTTGTCCTCCTCCTGCAAGAATCAACAAAGATCGATCAAGATGCAGCACAAACAGTAGGTGAAACATTAAATGATACTCACAAATAACAGCAGCAAAGCTTCGACTCAAAACATGTCGAACCCCCCACAAGTCCACAACAACAGATCAATAATATATCTTCTTCCCCCACATCAATAAAACAGGGGTACAGTAATGGCAGGCAAAAGGAACAAAGTGAAGCAAGTACACCGGTGTTATGAGCCTGACGGCTCCATTTCATCTTCCAGAGTAATCACCAGGCCACCATGGCAGAAAACCAGGCTGGTCATGCATCATGCACACGGGAGTAGGAAGGGCATGACACTTGGTCAATTGCCATGCCCCATTGGGCAAGTTTTTCAACATATATGAACAGTGGGGGAGAAGCACTCAACATTATGCATTAACATACAAGAATTGTCGCCGAATGTCCCAAATGATGAATTACAATTACAGTTTGAGGATCGGTCCTCAAGACCATGAATTCATGGTAGAAAAGTGTGCGCAGCATGGATTGGTTTTCATGTCGTCGGCTGATGTCAGGAAGGGGGGAAGGATTGCCTTCTTGTTCCACACGATATGCAGATTAAAGATTGTCACTTGTCAGCACAATCTCTCTCTGCATTTGGCAGCATAAAAATTCCTCCGATGAAGTGATGAGCCCTGGTAATGCATCAGTTCACAGATCACAGATGCAAATAACCTCCTTCCCATCCATTGAAATTGTAAGCATTTGTGTTGTTAGTATGGTGACTTTCCTGATGAATACCTAGCTCTGTCTCAGCATCCAAAACCTTTCAGTATATTACTCAACTCATTGATAACATCTGTTACCCTTGCATATGATCCAGGGAGATTTATGGCATGATACTCTAAGCTCTTCCAGTGTGAGATCAATGCAAAATGTGGGCGTCGATACATGCTGCTGATGATTTCAAGGACTTTTGTATCTGGGGTAGCTGAAACCAAGTGAGTTAGACCAGCCCCATGTGCCCCTATTACTACTGAAGCTTCCTGTATAGCACGCAGTTGCTCCTTCATGTTCATGTGGGCAAAAAGACCATTGATGACATTTATTTTGCATTTCTGACCTTTTGCCCAGCCCTCAATTGCATCATATACCTCCTTCTCATTGCTTAGTCTAGATTCAACCTTTCCACTGTGGCGTGGATGGGCCAAGTAGTCCTCTCGCCGAACAAAGAGAACATTGAGCCCATTTGATGTTTTGGATGACAGTATGTCATCCCTCAGAAGATCAAAAGAAGCTAAAATCATCTCACCAAATTCAGACAACCTTGCCGTTTTCTGGTGATCAGGCTTTTCTCTGAGGGACTCCGCAGAAGCACCTTCGCAGCTAAAGCTCTCACTAAGGCCCTTAAATAGCGCAGTCTCATAGCCCAATGGTGAAAGAATTGCATGTCGAAAACAAACAGGGCCAGAGAAATTCTTAACATATGTCACATTTGAGAAAAGTGCTTCCCATGTTTGCTCCAGTTGTGCCTGTGAATGTCAGATCATACTGTTAAAAGACAAAAGCATATACACTGTTATTGAGTAAAAAATGAGCCGTCTTGTTAACTAGCATTAATCACACAATATGCTGCCGCACTCATCAAACAGTATCTGCATGCATGTTTTCAGGTTTCGTTGAATAAAACCTATATGAATGGCAAAATTGAACCACCATGCTCCTGATTTGCAATATGAAGGAAATCATTGCACAAGAAACCCTACTCAGATATTTCCGTTGCATCATTAAATAGAAGAGGAATATAATTATCATTATTCTACTTGGTCCTGGCCTGACTTCACAGTAACAAGTCGAAAGAATCGCATGCAGTGCAGTCATGAAGTGATGAAACTGTTCTGCTATTTATGAGCAGGTTTTGAGATGATGGGTGAAGAGGCATGCTCTAAAATGGCAAAATGGTTAACCCCAGTTGACTGATTTTATGACCAATAAAGTCAAAGTTCTGCTTCTTGTTTCACTTTCTAGTATTTCAATACAACTGTCTGTAACTGTACTTCTCTAAGATGACGTTGATACTCTCCTGAAGTGTATTCCAATGTACTACAAATTAAGCTATTGTAATAACCCGGAAAGAGGAGAATCACATTATAAAGGAGCGAAGGGAAATGGAAATGTGGCAGCCTGGCTGGCAGGGAAATGAGGAAGGGAAACAGACTAATTACCATAAAGTCCATAACTCAGGCTATATAGTTCATGAAATAGACCAACTAAACTGCAGTGCATCAACAATCAAAGAATGTAGCAACTCAAAATGCATCACGTGTAACGTACCTTGCAATGTCCATCCACAAAGACCACATTAGGGCGGTTAGGTAAATCCGTGACTCTGGAACTGACATATGCACTGTACCAGTCCGTAATTGTGTGGAAAAGGTTTGCATATTCAAAACGAGTTACTAGAAGTGTTGGTTCTTCAACCCACTGCAACAAATATAATAACATTAGAAAGGAATTTATCCTAGGGGAGCTTTACGAAAATATTACTGTGATATGTATACATTGGTGAAGAAATGAATCCTGCAATATAACAATAGGAGTCATGGAATGAATTCAATGCTCTGCTTCTTGAGAGGTTCATGTGTTTCTTCATAAAAAATCTAGTGTTATAAAGGCTACAAAGATACATCTTCAAAGCTCAAAACAGACTACCCATATCCAAGCAAAATTTTAAGCAATTCGCTAAATAGTCAACTACATCTGTATTGATATGGTAAATTTGCAACCAATCAGAACTAAATCAAATAACCAAAAGCATGAGTACAGTGCATCAATCAAGGCATCAAATATGTTACAGCAATACAGTTGCACAAGGCGTCGGCACGATTAACTTGACTAATCAAATAACCGAAAGCTTTTTTTTTCTCCCTAAACCAAATAACCGAATCAAAATATTTATTCATTATATAGCCAGTTGGTTCTCATGGGGTTCTCATTAACAAGAGAAAAAGAAAATTCCATCAAACTGCCAAGTCAACAGTAGAACAAAAAAGAAAGGGAGGGAATGAAACAACTATAACCACTTTGAAGACTGAAATTATAGCCTGTAAGATTTCTTGCCCACACCCATCTCCCTCACCAAACAAAAAGAAAGGAGCTCATTGACTCATTGTTAGGAGTTCCCATACTAGCCCAATAAACCTGTGGCCAGCACTAACATTGCTGCCTTGCTATTTGCCAATTTGCCAGATCCAATAGTGGGTGCCACCCAGAGCAGATGTTATCTTGCTGAACCAAACTAACTCAAACTCAATTGCTCGCCGCTAGTCCTCAGTCCTCTGTTGCAGGAGCAGAAGAGCAAGGACTGAGGACCCAAACTCAATCAAATTCTTTTACACCCTGGCCTTCTTGAAATTTCCTCGCAATCGATTAATTAATTAAATTTAGTCGCAATTACTACAGGAAACATGCTATAAACATCTTCCCACCTTTTGCCATGGACTCTACTCATTATTACTCCTACAGTTCAAATCATTGTTGCAATCTTCATAGATATATGAAATGTTTAAGCAAGTCAGTGTTCATGTGAACCGGATCCAACATACAACAATAAATTCTCCCAAATTTACACTTCCAATTTTAGCTACTACTACTGGTTACTGAGGCAAAGAGTGTGTGTACCTGCGAGCAGTGTAGCTCGCCGGGCGGCACGACGCGCCCCGAGTCGAGCAGCGACCTCATCGTGTGCATCCCGATCCCGCCGGTGGGCACGTAGGCGTCGAGGAACCCCGCTTCCACCAACGGCCCCGTCCTCTTCGCCGCCGCCTCCACCTGCAGCGCGCCGGGCTCGTACTTGGGCAGCTCCTCCTCCTCGGCGCGGCCCATCACCTGGTCGAGCGGCTCGCCGCCGCGCGACATCGCGATGAGCCCCGGGTCGAGCCGCACCCTCCCGCCCTCGCAGATCGAGCTGCGCAGCGTCTCGCTGTGGTGGCACCGGAACCACCCGCCGCCGCCGCCGCCCCGCGCGGGGAGCACGTCCACGAGGCGGGAGAACCCGTTCCCGAAGTACCCCTCACAGGAGTGCTTCGGCGGCGGCCGAACGGAGGCGGACGTCCACGGGAGGAAGGAGGGGAGGCGAGGCCATGGCTTCTGCGAGGACGGCGCTTCTACCCGCACACGGTCCACGGCTCCTCCTCCTCCGCCTCCTCCGGCTGCGTCCACGGCGTCGCGCTCGGGGTCAGCGGCAGGGTGCGGGTGCGGGTGCGGCGACTGGTGGCGGAGGAGGTACGCCGCGAACGAGACGGCGTAGATGGCGAAGACGGCGAGGAGGACTCGGGGGATGATGCGGCGTAGCCGATGGTTGTTGCTGTTGTTGTGGTGGTGGTGGTGGTGGTACGTGCGTACAGGCATCATCGCCTTCCGCCGCCGGCGAGGTGCTCGTCGTCGTCGCCGCCGGCGAGGTTCTCGGCGGCGTAGATCGGGGTTGAACGGATCTCGGAAGCGGTCGCGAGCGAACTCGCGGAGACGAGATCGCCTGACCCTTGTGCAGCTTGCCGTTGTGTCACTGACGTGTGGGCCATAGTAAAAGTGGGGCCCACATGTCAGTGTCGCAACTCCAAACTGAACAAAGTCGGGGGAAGTGTGGGCCCACCAGATCGGACGGCTGAGATTCATCGCGATGGTGTTTGGTGAGAGCTTTTGGTGTTTTTTGGACGGCTGCGATCCATTTCGCCTTTTCTACTTTTTTTTTCCCTTTTTCTGGTGATGAAGTATCGTCGATCTCGCGAGGACGGCGGCGCGTGGCGGTGTGCGGTGGCCGGAATCGTGCATCGCCGCCTCCGATGGGGCTCAGATCACCGGCGAGCCGCCACTGCAAGCTACCTTGACCAACCCAGCTTTGGCGGAGATCAGTTGCGGCGCAGGTGTATGCCATGACTAGCGAGAGCAAAGGTGAAGAACTACTTTATCCAGAATCTTTTTTTTTTATTTTTGTTCTTGGTGAATCTTGCCTAGAAATTTCCATTTCCTTGCTTCGATAAAGAGAGAAAAGATTATCGGTTTGCTTGCACGGTGTGACGAACAGAAAAGGTGCGGGATCGCACGGCTAGTTTGAGGTGTTCTTAACAATGAATAATTGAACAGGATTTGAGAAGTGATCAAGCTCGATCAGATTAAAGGGGATCAGCTCACTTCTGATATTTCAGATGTTCCCTTCTGATACATTAGCGTATTTCAGGATCACAGGTACGTAATCGTCAGCACAAAGTAACTACCTGACTATCTAACTTTCTTTTTTCTTCAGGATGAAGTCTGAATTTTTGGGATACGATTACCTAACAAGTTACACATGCTTGTAGTTTGCAGTAACAGGAATACAGGATGGTCTGACAACTAATATGTTGAATTAATTATTGTCCTATGGCTTCTCCAGAAGCAATTAGGTTAATTGTTTGTTTTTTAATCTTCTGTGTCACAGTCTTCTGAATGATTTTCAGAGTAAGATATCAGGATCTAAGGGTCAGAGTGTTTCTTTGGAACTCTAGATGCATTTTACATCATAGTATTGTTATTTCAATCTCAGGATTGAGTGCAAGCAATCTGTTTGTACAAAATACAGTCATCTGAACTCTAGAAAGTTAGTTAAATATTATGCTAACTCACGTTATGCAAGTGAACTGTTCCATTAGAATGTACTCAGGTATGGTACTGTAACAATGATGCTGATGTTCATACAGTTAATATAGGATTGCGATTTTTCTCATTCAACAATTCATAGCCATAACTAAATCATTTACTTGTTTTTGCAACTTATTCAAATTTTGATGTTTGATTGTTTTCTAGTGTACTACACTTCCCTAGAACGTGTGTCACTCGCACTCTCTGAGATGGACAGCTACATATGAACAAACTACTAATAATTGAGAGTACTTATCACTAGTAACTTTTTGAGATGTACTCCATCTTATAAGCAATCAACCAGTAGTTTGACAATATCAGGCTTTCAGCTTTCTTGTACCACATATTCTGTTCAATTTAATATATATGCCGACACTCTTTTAACTTTACATATTTTGTGAAGAACAATAAGCTATAGCACCTCTAGAGGATAAGACCTGCATATTGTACGCTCATCTGAAGGATATGGATTGTTTGAATACGTTTCATTTTGATCATTCTTCTATTGTCTGCTTGTCTTCCTTGCTTCTGTCTTGACAAGAAATCTGATCTCCCGGGGCACGTCTCAGATACAGTAATACAGAACGGCTGAGAAATCCCTATGGTTACTCTTATACAAACCATGCCATCTGACCCCTCAACAATAGTTCAGGCATGAGATACAGAAACAGAAACTACTGTACATTCTCAAAAACTTCATATTTATGTTCCTATGACTTGATGTCCATGCCAAAAATCGTTGATCCTGAACGATCAAATTAACAAAAAAAAGCATTAGATTAAGTCAGAAAACAACAGTAAGTTACTAACTACTGACTAATCCTTAATGTTGATCTGTGCAGGAATGTTACCTAATGTTGGCAGTAAGACTGTCAGAGCTGCAATGGCAACAATTTTCAGGGGCAACCCAGTGGCCACCAGATCCTTGATGGTAATGTAGCCGGTGCTGAAGCCGACAACGTTTGACGGCGATCCGGTGGGCAACAAGTATGACAACTGGGCCCCGATTGCGCCGGAAACCATGAGCAAGGCAGGGTGCACCTCAATGGATTTGGCAAGTTCAGCGAACAATGGCAGCACCAGCGTCGTGGTTGAGTCGTCAGAAGTGAACTCTGTCATGATCCCGCTGAAAACGCAGGCGACAGGCACGATCACCAGCGTCGGCGCCCCTTTCAGGAACCTGAGGCCGTTGGAGAGGATGTCGGTGAGGCCGCTCGTCTTGAAGCCATCGGCAATGGCGAATCCTGCGCCGAGGAGAAGGATGATGTTCCACTGGATCTTCTTGCACTTGTTCCAGTCCATCAGCTTCTCACCCTCCCTCTTCCCGCTGGGGATTATGAACAGAAGGGTGGCCATCATGATCTGCATTGCAAAGTGATTTGCTTCTGTATAAGATCAGGTAAATGCAACTGGCTCGCTAGCCCAGTAATTTTTGTCTTTGTGATTATTTTAGCACTTACAGTAACTGTGCCATCCCCAACTTTATTGTGGAAAAGAACTCCCCATCCAGGGATGTTGTCTGTTATGTTCCTACTCATCCACAGCACAACTAGGCCCTGCAAAAAAAAAAAAGAAAAAAAAGAAAAAAAAAAGGGTCCATTTCAGTTAGTTTTACCAAGATAGCACAAATAATCAGTTTCAATTTGTATGACAGAAACCAAACCCTGCATATTCTTCATATTGAAATTTATGGTCATAAAATCAGAACATAGCTAGTGTTGGATTAGAAAAAAAAAATAGAAATAGAATTTTACCCCAAACACAGCCAAGACCATCTTCTCTGCAAAAGCCATTGGACCTGTCATAGATCATGACACCTCATCAGACAATCATGGACTTAGAATTAGATACTGAATTTGTGGCTGTTATTAATCAACTGTTGAGGCAGAAAAATACTTAGCCCAATCAGAATTATCCAAGTGATGACCACAGGTCAATTGTCAACTTTTTAGCAGTGATATACAACCAAAGGTAAACACATTTTTTATGTTCTAGGTAGCAATATTTTGGAACGGATATACTCCCTCTGTGCCTAAATATTTGACGCTGTTGACTTTTTTAAACGTGTTTGACCATTCGTCTTATTAAAAACTTTTGTGAAATATGTAAAACTATATGTATACATAAAAGTATATATTTAACAATTAATCAAATGATAGAGAAAAAATTAATAATTACTTAAATTTTTTGAATAAGACGAACGGTCAAACATGTTTAAAAAAGTCAACGGCGTCAAATATTTAGGGACGGAGGGAGTAGATAGTATCAAGAAACGGGATGTCACGTATACCTAACAAGCTGAGCTCTCGTCTCAAATGGCTTCTGTCGAGGTAGGCGGAGAGGGCCTTGGCGGTGTTGTTGGAGCAGTACATGAGGCAGAGGGTGAGCCAGAGCGCGAGGAAGAGGATGATCGCCATGGGGAGGCCGAAGGACATCCATGAGCTGAAGGTGATGGGCCTCTGCTCCGGGAAGTAGGACGACCACATCCCCACCAGGATGATGTTCACGCCGGTGCCGGTCAGCGTCGCCATGCCGCCGATCGCCGACGCGTACACCACGCCGAGCACCACCGCTTTGGAGAATCGCCGCACCTCCTGCCCGCCGCCGTCGTCGATGTCGCCGCGGGGGAACCTCTGCAGGATCCCCGTCGCCACCGGCATCATCATGACCGTGCACGCCGTGTTGTGGATCCACATGCTGACGAGCGCGGTCGTGCCGGTGACGCCGAGGAGCAGCAGCGACGGCCGCACCGGATCGCCGCAGAAGAGGGACAGCACGTTGAGGGCGAGGCGGCGGTGGATGCGGTGGTGGTCGACGGCGAGGGCGAGGATGAAGCTGCCGAGGACGAGGGAGATGACGTCGCCCATGTACGCCCTGGCGACGTCGTCGGAGGAGGAGATCCCCAGGGCCGGGAAGAGGAACAGCGGCGCCATGGACGCGACGGCGAGCGGCACGGCGCCGGTGACCCACCAGAGGAACACCCACGCCAGCACGCCCAGCATGTTCCGCGCCTCGCCGTGCCCGTCCCCGAGGTCCACGGCGGCGCACACCGCCGCGCACGCCGCCGGCCCCGCCGCGATCGCCGGGTACTTGTGCGCGAGCAGAGCGCGCACCCACGCCGCCGCCGCCGACGACGCCGGACGTCGACGATCACCCTTCGCCATCGTCCCGCCCCTCGCCGCCGGCAGCAGCAGCGGCGCCTCCACGTCGTCCGACGAGCTCTCGCCGTAGCTGCTGCCGTTCTTGTCCATGCCGATGAACTGATGGATCGTTCGCCGCCGCCGCCGTGGTTGGCCTCAGCTCGCCTCGTCTCGGCTGGTTTTATAGCAGCTAGGGCGACACTTAAAATGGATGGAGAAGTGATCTGGCCAAGTTTAAATTCACCGGAAAAATACGCAAAAATTTCAAAAATAGACGATAAAAACATTTAAAATGATGGCGAATCGTTGCCACGTGGAAGGCTCGTGCCAGGGAAACGAGGGGCGTGATGAGTTGTCGCCACGTCGCATGGTGGCATTTTTAGCTAAGCTTCCCTGATATTTTTGGAGGCGGTGTCTTCCCTTCAGAGTTCAGATGCAATATAATGCTTCCTCCGGTCTTGCCATGGAGTAGAATTTGTTTGAATTCAGTGAAGAGTTGTTCAAACTCTACGAAAGAAAATCTATTCAAATAGCTCAATCGTTTACTCTTCGTCTTATTAGGCACATATAAAAACATAGTTTTAGAATTCATTTTGATGTTTTCTTATCGATTAGTATTGGTTTTTTAAAGCGCGAAGAATACATATATTAAAACTAAAGTTTGTTTTTTTGAAATTCACTTTTTAAGGTTTGTTATTAAAATTAAAAACCTGTATTACTTGTTAATGACTTTCTACCTACTGACTTGCTTCTGAATCCTTTTCAGATAGGATATAGCAGAAAAGAGGTTCTAGAGATGATAGATATATATATATGCTTAGAGCTTCTACAGATAATTTCCGATGTGTTTAGGTCTTTAAGATGCCGGCCGTGAGCTGAGCTACTTGAGATTAATTTGTGGCCTAATTTGTGCGGCGGATGAGTTCGTGCACACGTGGAGATATTTATTTTTCAGCAAAGACAAAGCTAACTGTACCTTGATCAGAACCACAGCACAAAACAGATAAGATCAGACACCGTGACGATGATATTTGCCAAGTGGTAAGCGCAAAGCTAGAGTCTAAAAACTACTAGCAAAGTTGAGAGTTCGGACAACCTCAGATTTTTGCAATTTTCGTTCAAAGAATTAAACATCTATAGCTTCTACCATAAAATTGTACAATGATAATAAATAGAGACTATCTATATGTCGTTTGATAGAAAAACCGCCTCCGAAATCTCGCAAAATTTGCACTATTGGATTGTTTTGAGATTCGTTCAACAACACCTAACCTTAATCCCTCTTCCTTCTATGCTCATTCCCATCTCTAACCACAGTAGCCCACAAGTTCGTTTCCCTTCCCCCGTCCTCCCCCACCTCTTCCTTGTGCATGTGCATTCTCCCCGCTGCCACCCGACTGTGCCGTCACTCAACCTCACGGGTTGGACAGAGGGCATCTACAACGCCGCGCAAGGCCCCAGTCGGTATCATTTCCCTTTCATCTCTCTCCTCCTCCTTCCCGAGGCGGCGGCTAAGAGATGCCCCTACACCACCTCTTCCCTATCTCCCCACCGTTGTATTCGTCCACAACCGACCATCTCCTCCTAACCATAAGCTCACTTTGTCCTTGCCACCAACCCCGGCCGACTGCCCTCCACCATCCCCATGGCTTTGGTGCCTCATTGCCTGTCGTGTCCACCGCTCATCGCCAGACAACCATCTCCTACGATCATCTCTCTAAGCCCGGTGATCTCTTCCCTCTTTCCCCCTTGATCCCCACCTCCCCCCCCCCCCCCATCTAAACCCTAACTCCACTAGTGTTCATCGGGTCGTCACCAGTAGCCGGTGCTTCATGGGAGCTGGAGGAGAAGAACTTGGGCACACGAATCTTTACGTAAATCATGTGGTTCAAATCTCCGTTGATCTTTTGTAGCGTGCCATTCAGCAATTCCCTAATAAGAATCCCAAAGATCAGGGAAGAATGATGGGTATCTGTCGCCATTGTCTCCTCTGAACCTTGATTGCTTAACTGTTATTTGATTGATGCTTTAATATACACCACTAATTCTTCTCCCGCTTATGGCCAGAGGTGACTATGAGGGTGACTGGGCGCAATCATGTACGCTTGGCTGGGACCCCTGCCTCATGTCGATCTAGATCAAGCTGACAATTGGATGGACATTAATTCGTTCAGATTCAGCCAATCGAGACTGAATGCTGTCATATCCAAAGAGAAATATATCACCCCATGCCGTAGTTGACGAACTAATTAACCTGACACCTCTGTTAATTGGAGTAGTATTGAACTGTTAACACAATAACACTGTACTATAATGTAATGCAATGCCACTGTGTTCAAGGAGGCGTGCAAGCTAAGCTAATTAATACTAAGATGGTAATTAAGAGGTTGGATTCGTTTAGATAGCTAGGCTGCTAGCTAGCCGCTTTCGATCACCAGTTACAAAATTACGTAAACATGTTAATATTTTGAGTTTTTACATGGTAGGCCGATGAACAGGAGGTTTATTTATTTTAAAAGATATTTTTAACTTTATAGTATTATTAGAATGTGTTATGTGGAATATTTTGGAACGGAAGAAAACTATAGTATGTACATGTGCCTGCCTCAGGTCGTAACAGGATTAAAAATATGGTTGGCAGATTACCGCTTATTCGATATGATCAACAGCTAACCAGCTAGGAGTAGCGAATTAATGAACGTATACGTACATTTTTTTTAGAAAGTATGAACGTACATTTGTTGGTGTGTCAATAATTATCTCTTTCAGTCCATCGGTTGATCGACCATCGACGACGACGGCCATGTTAAATGTAGCACTGTTCCCTGAAAAGAAAAGAAAATCATTCATTAATTTGCCGTACGTGTGTAGCCTACCACAACCTTACTCCCTCCGATCAAAAAGAATTAATTCTTAGATTTCCGTGTCCAATGTTTGACCGTTTATTTTATATAAAATTTTTTTTATGATTAGTATATTTATTATTGCTAGATGATAAAGCATAAATAATATTTTATGCATGACTTATTTTTTTAAATTTTTTCATATTTTTTTTCAAATAAGACGGACGGTCAAACGTTAGACATAGAAACCTAAGAATTGAGTTTTTTTTGGAAGGCAAAATTTGCTACAGGACACTCAAAAAACATGTAATTAGCCGTGGGACACCGCAAAAACGTGAATTGGCTGTAGGATATCGCAAAAGAGTGGTAATTGGCTACTGGACACTGGAGACATTATTTTATTATTTCCGGTGAAAATGGAGAGAGAAAGAGCGTTAAAAGTACTAAAATGCCCCTGGCCGCGAGCACTCCCTCTCCAGCCTCCTCGTTGTGCTGCGCACTCTCTCCGTCGGCGCTGCGTACGCCGGCCCCCTCCGCCTCACCCGGCAGAACCAGAATGGCATGTCGCACGCTGCTGTTGTCCTGTTCGCCCCCACCTGCGACGTTCGCGGCGGCGCTCGCTACTCGCCCACGGCCTCGCCGACGCGGTCGCCGGCGTCGAGGCGAACAACCCGGGGTTCCTTGACCTCATGCTGATCGAGTCGTTCAGGGCCAGACAGCCTCGGGGAGAACAGCGTGAGCTAGCCCGGGTGGTGCTGCGCCGACGATGACGGCAATGTCTTCTTCGGTGACCGGCTCAATGTCGTGCACGAACGTCGCGTTTCTAACCGATGGGGTCGCCGGCGATGCGATGCATGCAGGGCCTGGCTACGACGACGCGAGACCGTACACCGTGCTGTTCCACCCGCTGACGGGGCGCTGCGTGGTGAGGCGGGCGGCAGATGACGCGGCGGCGGCAACGGCAGCGGGGACGCTGGAGCTGGGCTGGTGCGAGGACACAGATGCGTGGGCATACACGCAGCCGGTGTCCACGCTGGCGATGCAGGGCGTGTGGCGGGGGTCACCGCCGCTCTGCCTGAGAGCCGTGGGGAGCGGCCGGCCGGCACGGCTCGCCACCAACGACGCCGCTGCCGACGCCGCTGGCTGCCGCGGCGACGCCCGACTGCTCCGGGAACGCCGAGCTGCGCGAGCTGCGCCGGGGATGCGTCGTCGGACGGGAAGAACAATCGTCGGGAGGAAGAGGAAAGAAAATAGAGGAGAGACTGACATCCTGGGCGCACGTAGGGCAATCTGGTCTTTTTTAATTGTTTCTCTCTTCGTTTCCACTAAAAATAATAAAATAATGTCTCTAGTGTCTAGTTGCTAATTATCACTCTTTTGCGACGTCTTACAGCCAATTCATATTTTTGCGGTGTCCCACGGCTAATTACACGTTTTTTAAGTGTCCTGTAGCAAATTTTGCCTTTTTGGAATGGAAGAAGTAAATATCACGTACAAGGATATTCAGAACCGGTTTGAAGCTGAAATATCGTAACCTACGAGAATATTGGCATTTTAAAATAATAAATCGGTAATATTTAGTTTACTATCAATATTTTATCTATTAGACACATGTATTACTAAAATATTAGCATTGCCAATTATAACTTGCCCATATTTCTCAGTATGATAGCAAACCAAAAAGCTAGTACTAGTAGTACTCCCCCACTATCATGTAGGGGTATACACCACACAACGAACGCAGCGGAAATAAAAGATCTTTTCACTTAAACATTGGCATGCATTATTGATACTGAAGCTATCACCAATCTTCTCTGAATATGTAGGAATTGTTTGGTTCACTACCACAATTTACCTTACCATGCCACAGCTTAACTTAGCCAGGTTCGTGTCATACTTATGACAAGATTCCTTCACCATGATGTGAATCCCATATGTTATTGGCTAATAAAAGTATGGTAAGCTTGCTTTCCTATGGCTGAAGTATGGCTTCAATTTTATTATCAACATATTACACATGTTAGCTAAATGAAGTATGGCAAGCTTTGACAATATGGGTATGTCAACCAAACAACCTCTACCAAGTTACTTTCTCTATTTCACGCTATAAGACGTTCTGATTTTGAATGGATCCATGCAAAAATCAATGAATGTGTTATATATATGGGTACAAACTCATGGATATTAGTTAACCTGAAATTTTCACAATTTGACCCTTTGCAAAAACTTTTTTTTTACAAATGAACCGCTGCCAAAACTTATTTTAAAAATGACTCTTTTGGTCAGCGTCAAATCACCTGGCGCTGAACTTAGACATCTCAGCGCCATGTTAACTAGCGCTGAATGCCGTGCCACCGTGGATGGGAGACTAAGTCAGCGTGCCAACGCATATTCAGCGCCACGCTATTTGGTGCTGAGGTGTCTAAGTTCAGCGCCAAGGGTTATTTTTGAAATAAGTTTTGGTGACGGTTCATTTGTAAAAATAGTTTTTGCAAAGGGTCAAATTGTGAAAATTTTTGTTAGTTAACCTAGGGTGTGTTTAGATTCAGGGATGTAAAATTTTGGCGTGTCACATCAGTATTATATAGGGTGTCGCATGCGGTATTCGGGCACTAATAGAAAAACTAATTACAGAATCCATCGATAAACAACAAGACAAATTTATTAAGCCTAATTAATTCATCATTAGT